TTAGGGATAAAAGATTTATTTACACGGGTACTATCACAAGCAAATCTTTGCCGACACAGTCCTTGATGCTGCATGAAGTTAGACACGATGCACTTCTAGAAGCAAAGAGTGGGACAGAAACAGAGATAGACACTTACTTTTAGGGTGAAGTTACTTTTAGCTTTAGCTTAGTTAGTTACTTTTAGCTCCTCATCCGGGAGCTTAACTCCTGCAGCTCAAAAACCCAGCTGTCCCAAAGAGAACAGCACCAAGCTCTTTCCCTAAAAACTTATATTTAGGACACACAAAACCAGCTTCAAATATAAAACCCAGAGAGAAACCCAGCCTGTTCTCATCCAGCTCCTCCACCAAAGGCACTTGCAGAGGCTCACAATCCCCATCTGGCAAACTTTTCAAGATGCCCAGTTTGCACCCAGACCTGACACAGCCAGCAGGTCTCAAGGCACTGGTGTGGGTTTCACATGGGAGGTTATTATCTTGCTGGGTCCCAGCTCAGCTGCTTTGTATTGAGAGTCATTTCCACTGTCCTTCTGGAGAGCTATTTATACTCACAATTGGGCTCTGCCTTAAGCACTTAAGCCCTGCTGTCTAGCCAGAAAACAGGCTTCCCACCAGTGCCTCTTCCTCCCTGTACCAGTCCCTAAACTCCAATAAAAGGTGCCACACGCAGAGAGCAGGTAGAAAATTTCTGCCAGAAAACAGGCAACACAAATCTAAATGTCCTTGTTTGTGGGCACTAAACCCTGCAAACTTGAGGGCCAGAGGTGCTGGTGTGTCCATCAAGAGAGCTGCAGCTGTTGGGGTGGCATCCTGAGCACGCAGGGGGAGCTTCTGCCAGAGCTAAAAACAGCAGGAGCGAAGTGCCGGCGATCCACGCGCTGCACGTGTTCTGGCCATCCCTGGCTGAGACACACCAAGGGAAAAGGCTCTGCTTGGAGACACTTTCTCAGTAATTTAACTCCATCTCCCAAGCACCAAAGGGCAAACCCAGCTGTAGAGGCCACTGTCACGATGGAAAGTGGGATGGGAGATCACGATGAATTCAATCTTTGCTGCTTTAGCGAGTAGGTCGCTCAGGGGAAGGCCAGGATAAAAGATTCCTCTCTGGAAATATCTCAGCTGGAGCTGCATAAAACTTAGACCCACATCCAGGGGGGAAAACTCACATAAAATTCTGGCTTATCTTGCAGAGCTGTATCATGATGCAGCCTGCAGAGGCTTGTCAGGACCCCACTGGGGGGCACATCAGTACACTGTCTCTATAGATATCAGGGCAAGTGCCCTACCCAGGACTGGCAAACATCCAAAAATGTTCACCACCACTCTTCAGATTGCCTATAGATAAGCCTGTATGGCCCAGACTGTCACAAGGTTTAAGTTACAGTGGAAAATATATTAGATATGTCAAAATATCTGAAATTAAACCCGAGGGAATGCAACCAGAAGGCAGCTTTAGGAGAGCTGTAAGAGCACCCAATAAAGGGGTGCCTTGAGGCAGCATCTTGTAACACTATTGCAACAAGTGAACTTTAATTTGAGGCTTGCCAGTCTCCCCATTAAAACACTGCTCCTGGGATCCAGCATGTGGAGAGCAAGCAGGCACCTCTGCTAAGTTGCTTTCAGAAGTTAATACTGACAGATGACTGAGGATATCTGCCAGCAATGCCACTTCTGTGATGTAGTAACACAGCTCCAAATTGCTCATACTCCTCTGCAGGCCTTTCCCACCACACTTGCTCAATCCCCTTGAAGTCTGCAAATATGCACCAGCACAGTTTAGAAGAGTATTTGGCTAACATGGTCAGAGATAACCTGAATTTACAAGATCCCCATGATAAGCACCTAGGCTAAAACTACTGATCTGTTTGGCTCACTGAGAACATCAGATCTTAAATGGAACAACAGTGTCAGGAGGAAGGTCAAACATGTCCTGCTGTCCAAACACAGTCCTCACATAAACCTGCATTGCTGCTCGGAAGCCAGAGGGACCATATCAACACAAATTTGGGGTTGGAGCAGTGTACTATTAAAAATTAAGGCAGCCCAACAACTGCTGGTCTCAGATTTGGTTCGGTTTAATCAGCCAGACTTGGCTGAGTCTACTGGTGAGTCCAGTTTCAGACAGGTTTGACTGAGTGCAACCAACCCAACTTGGCTGATTCCACCCGTGTTTACCACCCACGTGGAGACCTTAGTGTGGGAAGACAGGAGGGGAGGCTTGGGGAGCCTCCCAGCCCCTGCACCGCCCTGGGAGCCCAGGCAGGCTGTGACATCTCCTGGCAATGACAGCTCTGCGTGACTGAGACCTCCCAGAGTCTCTCCTCTGCTCACAAACGATCATGTCTCACTCGCAGTCGTGTTCCCTGCACTTCCCTGGGGCTCTCCCAGAGGAAGAGCCCTGGATGTTACCAGCCCTGCCACAGGTGGGTGTCCTGGCACCCCTGCCTGCTCAGGGTCCTCTCTGCCAGGAGCTCACCCCAGCCAGCTCTGGCTGCCACAGGTAACCCTTCCTTGGGAAACACCTTCTGGGACCTGACAGCCCGTCAGGAGCTCCTCTCTCTCCCAAAATCCACAGCACTGCCAAGCCCCCTCCCTGCCCCCAGCTCACTGTGAACACCAGTGTATGCCCAGCTTCTTCATGTAAAACTGGGACGATGTGCTGGATTTTCTCAAGGAGTGGGAAGTTTCTGCCTGAACTCTGAATCCAACAGTTAGAATTAATTCAGTTTTTGCTGTCTAAACTACCCCAGACACCAACTCGCCAGTGAAGATACCTGATTTCTCCACAGGGCAGCTCCATTCACTTTCACACCAAGATTATTTGTTACCTGCATTCTCATACAGGAATCTCTCTGGGGAAAAAAAAAATTAAAAAAAATTAAAAATTCACTACTCATCTGCCTCAGAGTTTAATGTGGTATAAATTGAAATGTCACTTCAGAGGCCCCTGTCAAAGCACTTCAGGAAGAAGGGCCCCAGCATTTGTGGCCTTTGCAGCAGCCGGTTTTCCATTTTGGGAAGGGTTTAAGATGGCTGGAATAGCCAGTCTCTTCCCACCACCCCTGCATTCAAGCCAGCGTCAAAAGTTCATCTGATAATTATGCCATCAAGAGGTGAATAATAGTTTAAATTCCTTGGGCTGGATTTTCTAGCAAGGGGGTCCAAGTAAATCCCATTGATTTGGGGCAGAGTTGCTTGTCCAGAGGAGGGGAGCATCCCTACACCTCAGTCTGTGCTGGAGAGCAGGATCCACCCACCCTTGAGCACTGATGGCCTTGATACAATTTGCAGTGACACAAAAAAAAAAAATGCTAAAGCCATTAATAACAGTGCCAGGAGAGATGTTTTAGCCAGAAGTAATTTATACCTTTTCACACAGCTTCTGGGACACAGCATGGATGAAGCAGGAAGGTAACTGGAAAAACCAAAATGCAAGTCATATTTTCAAACTGGGGATCTGGGGAAGACCTCCAGAAGCCCACAAAAAATAACTAACTCAGTGCACCTTACACTGCTGGGCAGGGTTCTGCAGACCAGCCGGGTTGTCTTCATGGTCACAGAACTGATGAAGGCTGACAAAGCCAGGCCTGAACAGTCCAACCCCACTGCTGAAGTGGCAGATGAAAACCAACTTGTAGACACTTCCAGAGCAGTAGGCAGCTTTGTTTGGGATTCTGCCCTTATGCATCCACACAGAGAAATTCCTCCAAGTGAGCTGTTTGGGAGCACAGGAACCTCCACCTACACTTGCTGCAGTAACACTGGGCAGGGACACAACCCTCCACTTCAGAAATGCCCTCACTTCTGCTCCTCCCTTACACAGCACCTCACTGAACAATGCACCTGGCTTGAAATTCAAGTGTTTAATGGCACTGCACCATCAACAAGACATCACTTCAGCTCCCATCAGCTTCACACAGCTCTTCCACCGAGTCTGGGGGATGCTAACACGAAACTGTTCAAGCCAGCCAGGCAAATGCTGGCTCCACCAAACCCCAAACTGTCTCCCTGCATTCCTCAGCATTTGGGGAGAAGCTCAGGTTTTCTTTATACCCCAAGTGAAAAGGAAATTCTTTACATTCCAGATCTGTATAAGAGAGCCCTGTTTCTAATGAAGTTTTTCTACCCTTCCCTTTCAACATAGAGAGGCACAATCGACCTGAGCTGGCATCTTTCCAGCACTCAGGACTATTAGCATTTCAAATTATAAGCTGCTACAGATCTGGCCACTGCTGTATCTCACAACGCTGGACCTGTTTTGTTCCAGCTAATGGTGCCACTCTGTTGACTTTCAAACTGGCTGGAGGGAATAAATTGCTGCAGTTTGTTCCCATACAGCTGACATTCCCGCCATGCCATCACTCACAAGCAGGGATCTGAACATTAGAAATGTAACCCACCACCCCAGACAGCCTTCAGACCTCAGAGGGGAGCTGGTGGAGAGGAGACTTGCAGCTTCAAGACTCAGCACTGACTCAAGCTGCTGGCAGCAAGAGCCCCAGAACCAAACTGATGGCTTACAGAGGTGAGTAACACTTTAATTTCTAGCACACTAATCATGTTTTCAGAATGCTTGAGGGCTTTTCAGGGGTGGGGAGAGGAGGGAGGGATATGATTTTCAGTTTCAGATAGCAGCATTCCCCTGGCTGGCACACCGAGCCCTGCTCTTACCTGTGGGCTCATCAAGGGTGGTCATCTGAGCGTCCTGGCAAGCCAGGAGCTCCAACCCCACAGCATGCTTGGCTCAGTCCTCCTGCCTGCATGAGCAGCTCTTACCCTTGCACCCAGGAAGACTGTGGTTCCCAAAGCAAGAGAGGACTCCACTGCCAACCAGAGCATCCCAGCTCCACGGCACAGGCACAAGGGGTGAAGCCATGACGAGCTCTGCACCCCTGAACATCTCACTTCGTTCATGAGGTACTTTGCAAGCAGCTAATCCATCACAGCTGCATTTAGTTCCTGGGTTGAGAGAAGAGGCAAACAGTCCACAAGGCACTCACCTGCAGTGTGGGCTTGGTTGTGCAGCAGAGCATCCACAGAGCTGGGCTCCACAGCCTCCTCCTAAACATGTCTCACTGGCAGGCTAAAGAGAGACAGAGTTGCTACAGGGAAGAAAGTGGCCAGAAAATATAATGCAACTTCTCAGTGAGAGTATTTTCACAGCACTGAGAACTGTAGGCAATGGAGTTAACCAGAACCACGGGAGGGGGATTTGGATTTAGTCTTTCCCCCTGCTCCACCTTTCAGCAGCACAGGCTGCACTGATTCTCCCACAGCACAGCATTTGCAGCCACAAAAGTTCACTGTCCAGCAAACTGACTCACATTGTGCCACCAAAATACATCACCTGGCTATTCCTCTGAGCAGCCAAGGAGGAATAACAGCCTATTTGTGCCCCTGCAACAGGGCAGCAGCAGAGGGTAACCTCAGGTGATGGGCAGAGCTGGGCAGTGCCCTCCTCTCCTATCCCAGCAGGGCGGGACCCAGAGCTCAGGCCCTCTTGAAAGGAACATTATTCCCTCTGTTGCCTGGATAACAACTCTTCCTTTTCATATTTTGTTTTTCAGTTGTATTAATTAGTAGATTTTGCTTTGTCCATAACACTGTTATCTCCTAGAGAAATTCCTCACTGTTGTTGCAAAAGGCAGCAAAAAAAATTCAGTGATGTGTGTTCACTGCCTGAGAGAGCTACTTTGTCCATTTACCACAAATACTATTGTATTTACCACAAATACTATTGAACTGCAGCTCACCTCTACCTCTGTTGCTGATTTAACCTACAACATTTTAAATGCATTTACTGACCAGCTCTCTAAGCAGAAGCAAACTTTTTTTTTTTTTTGGCAGGGAGGGCAGTCAGAGACAAAGCCCTGGCTCTCCTGTGCCTCTCACTTCACACATGCCTTTCTATCACCATTTCCTGATTTCCAAAGGCTACAGAGGGCAGGGGACAGCCCCTCACTGAATGCCAGGGCTGCTGCAGGCTCCGGTTGCAGCCCAGGCTGGAGTTCTCAGCCACCAGGACACAGCCACATTTGTGACATGTTTCCAGAGCAGCTGGGTACACACTAGATCAGGCATTTTTGGTTTTGTGAGACTTTCCAATAATTAAGCAGTATCAGTTACCTACAGGACACTTGAGCTAGAGTTTGGCACACGTGCTACCCCTGCCACTCTCTAGCAGACAGAAAATTCAAGCCCTGCTGTATTTTTCAGGTTTTTCCACCTAGAAAATTTGTGCCTCAGCTGCCAGAAAGATGGCAATCTGAGCACCCACTGAGACCACTAAATGTGCTCTTGGGTAATTAGCATGATGTCTATCACATCAAGAGACTACCAGTAGTTAAGGCTCAGACCACTGCTGGCTTTCACTAGATAAACTTTTCACTGTAGAAAGCCTTTTCGTGAGAGGGGAACAGAGAGAACATGACCAGAAAACCTTTTCCCCAGCTGTAGACAGAAACAGGTACATACTGGCATGTAATGGATTACAGGGTGAAAAAAATAAATAAGTTATGCCTCACTTTTCTAAGGAAATGGCATTAAAATCTAAGAGTTTGGGCACTGCACATCTACAGTTACAAAGCTACAGCTCTGATTTATACTGAGTCAAGTGCAAGCTAAAGCCAGGCCTTTGGGTGGAAATGAACATATTTGCTTTAGCACTCGGGTTGCTGGGCAGGCCCCCAGTTTTGTATGACACCAGCTGCTTCCATATCAAATGCTGTCCACGCAGTTAAAATTAGGCTGATCCTATTTCTGGCAGGGTTTGGGCTGCACAGCCACTGCTCCCCCTGCGTGTGGGCTCCTGGCAGTGGGCAGGTCACTGCCCGGCATCAGCCAGGCCCACGGGACTCTGTGGGAGCCCAAATGCCACGGATATTCATTTAAAATAACCTTTTCCCCTCCTTGCACACGGGGTATGGCACATGTCACTGTCACAAGAGCTTGAACAGTCCTTGTCTTGATGCTTCCTGGAGACAGACAATAACCACCAGAGCAGGGGTGCATTTATTCTTCATTCAAGAAACATCTGTGCGAGTGATTTAATTTTATGCAACGCTTTCTGCCAGCCCCATTTTCTATGAAATGGCTTGGGGTTTGTAAAATTATTTCCCTATAAAAAGCCTCCTTTTGACTGTACAGTGACAGATTAATTTAGGCAACTTGAACAATGATGGTTTGGGGAATTGGAACTTTTAACTGCTTCACAGTCTACACCTTAGTTCTACAGACATGCCTCTGAAGTGCTTAGCTATATTCTAATTATTTGCACTTCTTAAATGCATGATTAAAATGCATGATTTCTGTGTAAAAGCTCCGAGGCTGGAATAGTTTTCTCCACCATATTTTACAGTGCAACAAGTAGGTCCCTGCTTTGAGCTTCACAGTGACACAGCAACACATTCAGTGGGCTGACAGTGCTCTGACCACTGCTCTTCTTCCAGACTTGATCATGTGCTGCACTCTGGCTCCCAGCAGTTTTGGATAATTACACAAGCTGCTGATGAATCAGAGCTCTTGGTGTAGACTCAAATTCTCTTTTAGATGCTAAAGCTGCCCCAGCTTCTCTGGTGAAGAAATCAGAGATAGGATTTGGACCACAGCACTGAGAACAAGTATTAAAGAGACCCCAGCTCTGCCCCAGTGCACAGCAACCCTGCAGCCTCTCCAAGACCCACACAAGGCCAAAATGACTGAAAATGCCTTCCTTGTGTTGGCATCACTCCCAGCTGCACCCCCTGCTCCCTCACTGCCACTCTCCCACACAGCACTAACAACCTGCTCTAGCACCATTTTAAAGTCACTTGAGGTAACTCTGCTGCTCAGGGGGCAGCAGAGGGAAGAGCTTTGTCCCAAAGTGGGCAGGAGGTGGCCAAAGACCCCATTCTTTGGATGTGCACTCCCCACTCCCAGGCTGACACCCCACAGCACTGGGGGCTGGCCCAGACAGACACTTCTCCATCAGGAAGCCACTGAGCTAAAAACATCTCCTGGCTTGTCAGGGAAACTGGGGACAAGAGAGCTTCAAACAGCACTCCCCACAGCAAACAGACTGCAGGGGGACCCCGGGCTCTTGTGTAATTGTGCACATTCAGATCTCACGCACTGACTTTGCCCCTCCCGAGGCAGTGCTGGCACTGCCCGTTTTGGGTGATGCTGAGCAGTGCTGGTGGAGCTGAACAGGACAGGACTTTGAGGTCAGAATTCACTGCGGGCACAGATGTGAGGGGTTGGGTAACCTGGAGGATTATGTGCTGCTGTTTCTGGGCACAGACTCCCCTGCCTGGGGCACAGGTTGGAAGAAGCTCCCGTGGTGCACGACAGTCACTCACCCGTGTTTTCCCTGCAGCCTCTGCACTGGGCACAACAGCACGGGCAGCTCAGGGGCCTCATGTGCAGCGGGACGAGAGGGCAGGCAGGCTCAGGAGCTCTGGTTCATCTCTGGGTCCACCAGCTTTGATGACATCAGGTTTATATGGCAGAAGCATCAGACCACCAGTCAGTAATCACCTGTGTGACAGGAGATGTCAGAAGCTCCAGTAGGCACATGCTGCTTTTCACAGAGAAAAATATTATATTATACATATTTCACTTCAGAGAAAAATATTATACAGGCTCTGCAAAAGCTACCCCAGTTTCCTATTTGCTTCTGAGTGCAACTTGGCTATGGCTGTCAGTCTAGAGAAATCCTATTTGAACATGTTCCCACCTAAGGATATAATTTCTCTTTGTTCCTATTAAAATCAGATAAGTAAAATAATGAGTGTTTGGGATAGAAAAATCTCTTTTTCCATTTTGGTAATTACTGGCACAGTAAAGACATCCCGTGCCATGTTGGATGCTGTCACAGCTGGAGTTCCTACAGTGCTGTTCACAGAAGTTCCTTCTCCCTGGCTGAACAGTGCACCTTTCTGCCTTAAAAAAAAAGCCCCTGGGTTTTCATGTTACAGCTGGGGCTCTGCTGCGTTAATCACTGCAGGTATCCATGGGGGAATGGGGAAAGCATCCTCCAGCAGTAGGCAGTGAGAGGGAGAGCTGGAATTTGATTCATCCCCTGCTCACACACGGCCTGGGTTGTACAGGCTGGAGGAGGAACTGATGGCTCAGATGGCTCACGGATTTGTACCTGACCAGCGCAGCCCAGCATTGCCCCTGCTCAGCATTCACACAGGGTTCCTGGGAAGCAGTGATCCATCAGACAGTGAGCCTGTGGATGTTTCCCCTCAGCTTTCGGGAAAGAATTTAGTCTAGCTTTGTTACAGCATCCTGACTGCAGAAATAGCATTTCCAGCTTCTGGCAATAAAATTCTTTCCACGGCACTGAATCCTTGTCCTCGGGGTTCACACAAAGGACCCCCAACCTCCACCAACCACAGCCACTGGGTGTGCCTGTGCAGTGTGAATGCCAAAGGTACACACAGCACAGGCAGCAGAGAGCAGACAGGTGGCACAGGATGCCCAGGGACTCCTCAAATACTATTATTGCCTTTACTCTCACCTGCACACACTCTTCAGGTTACACCTGTGGGCACCAGTGTCTTCATGCACTACATGCCCCAGGACCTGCAGTGCTCACGTGTCAGGCAGCCTGGCCTCAAAATCCTGCTACATCTCTGTAATGCTCTGGCATGCAAAGAAGTGGGGCAGGGTTGGGGATTTTTTTTTTTATAGGGAAGAAAGGAAGCAAACGACCAGGATTTCTGTTTGACACGAATCTACTTACTTTAACAAGTATGGAGGCTCATGGTTTCAAGTGGAAGCTTAGCATCTCTTAAAATAAGCCCTAGGTGTCTTTTAATGTCGGTGCTTAAAAGGGGATTTAGTCACTGGGTTCTAGGAACTCCAGTCTGACTTAAGTGTCCAATATCTGTCGGCAGTTCAGCTGTTATCCAAGTAAGGGGAGGGAAAGCCAGGATTTTCCGGCCCTGAGAAACAGCTGTAGTCAGAAGAGGCATGTAATGCGAGGGATAAAATTAATTCCCTCTCAGCCCTGGAGTGTGAGCCGTTCCCAGCCGCTGGATGAAGGGCCTGTCTGTCCCAGCCTGTCCCACAGGGCTGCTGGGGCTGCTGCAGTGCCTCTCACTAGGCGGCCCCCGAGCCTCACCAGGGAGCTCTGCTCCCCTCCCAGGGCACCTTCAAGGCAACCAAAAGGTGATTTGAAGGGACAGAGATTGCGGCCCCATCTCTTCACTCTGCAATTGGAGTGAGATGTGCCCGTGAGCAGAAACCCCCCCCGGAGGATGTGCACCCCTTCAGGCTGCCCGTGGGCACCAACATCCCACAGGCTTCACAGCCACATGAGCCACACACAGGGGGTGTTTGCAAAACATCCCATCTCATCAGGGATGTGCCTTAATTAATTCCAAAATTAAGTTTTTACTGTGCTCTCTCCTATATTAAGGCTACCATTGCCCAAACGCCATTACACTCTCAGTGGGGATGTTCTTTTCTTTTCCTCTATAAAATGGACAAACTCATCCTAAACTTAGCAAAGACTTTGAAGCATGGAGCACAGCACACACATTTCAGCAACCATGCTGTTCTCCAGGGAGCCTGTCCTTGAAAGCCAGCTCACCTTCTTCCCCCCCCTTCCCCAATACATATGAAAATGCCCACAGGAGTGCTGGACACAATTTTTGAGATGTAAATCTCCGACCTGCTTGATGGGAGGCATTAAAAACTGAATTCCCAGAAAACGAGCCTCTGAAATAGTGCTCCCTGGTGCTACATGTTCTGGAAATACGCCACCAAAAAATGGTCTTTCAAACATACTCAGTGTTCAGCTGCATTTCTGCAATTTAGAAAGACTCTCAGCAAGCTTCACATCCGACCAGGATTCTTCAGTTTCTCTGAATACCTCGTCAGTGGCAACAATAACCTCCTACAGCTATTTGATTATTTTCAGAATATCCCAGCCGATGCAAACCTGCCCCACTCCCCACCTGAGGAGCAGTCATTTTAAGAAATCGTTCCACAAATCACAAATTTCTCTGAAACCCAACTGGCCCTCTCAGGATCCTTGGAGCGTAGGAAGAGAAACAAACAAAATCACTCCTTTCTCACTTCCTACAGAAGTCTCGTTATTCACACCCCAGGAGCAACAGAGAAGCCACGTTCTAATCACATATTCACACCACCAAGAAACTCACAACTAGAAAGCTCACTGCTGAAGGGGTGACAATTTCCCTGTTTAGCCATATGGCACAGAAGGAACACAGCTCCAGACAGAGCTCTCTCCAGCCCATTGCCTTTGGGAAAGCCTCATTCCTACCAGACCTATGCTCACATAACTGTTAAGTCCTATAGTGCCATAAGACATCCAAGTGTCTAGCACACGCTCCCAAAGCTTGAACACCTCTATGAGAATGAGCAGCACCATCAGGTATGTGCAGATGGCTTGCAAAAGGGATCACTCTCAAGTTGACTGAAGGTTGTTACCCTATATATCTATTCAAGCCTGTTTTCTTAGTAAAAGACATGCTGGTACATTAATGTGATGATGCAGTCTAGCTCTGCCTCACTTCTAAGTGTCAATTTTTAAATGCTCTCCCCCCTACACACTCTCTTTGCAATGCAGTGTATTTCAGATCCAGCAGATGCTCGTCTTGTTCCTAAAAGAGATTTAATGTGTTTTCCATGATCTAAACACCTGGCAAAAAGGGCTCCATAAAGCTTCAATACTTTCCTAACCCTGTGTTAAATTTGTCCTAGTGTTGCATATAGCATAATTCTGCAGCCATGTCAACTATTCAGGTAATTCCAGAATGTCGTCACTATGGTTTGTGTCAGCAGCGTGATCTGTATGTACCTTGTAATCATTCTGGTGTTGGGTTGCAAAGGTCCTCGGGCTCTTCATTTGGCTGAGTCTAATTCCATCCACTTCACAAAGATCTAGAGTTACACTAAGTAAAGGTTGACATTTACATGAGACACTGGGACTGCTGGAATGACTCACCAAGGTAAAACCTGGGCTAGATATTCTTTCAAGGGCATAAATTGTACGGTGACGACTTTTCACAGCTTCATAAAATCACAGAATGGTTTGGGCTGGAAGGGACCTTGGATATCCTCGAGTTCCACCCCTGGGCCATGGGCAGGGACACCTTCCACCATCCCAGGCTGCTCCAAGCCCCATCCAAGCTGGCCTTGGACACTTCCAGGGATGGGGCAGCCACAGCTTCTCTGGGCAACCTGTGCCAGGGCCTCCCCACCCTCACAGGGCAGAAGGTCTGTTAACCTGCTGTAGGGAGTCTCTTTGCTGAGCAAGGCAAACATGGACAGAGGGACATGACACACACATTGCTCAGCAGGACACGGGATCAGGATCTCAGGAGTCTCAGAACAGAGAGTTAGAGAAGCCTGGAGCATCACTCATAAAGAAAAGGAGATATGTCAGAGAGAAAACAGATATCTCAGAGTGACCTTCCAGTGTCTGCCTGGAAGATGAATGACCTCCTCTCATTTTTACTGCAAAGCTGGACAGCCACACACATGGGACAGCTTTGTCCTGGCACAGAAGCCCACTATTTCCATCATGTGAAACCAATTAGTAGCATCAGGGCTGGTCAGCACTGCAGCCAGTGTCCAAATGCTCTCAGGACATTTATTCTCCCAAACCCACTCTGCCCTTTAAAGCAGCACCAGCCACCACCTTCAGCATGCTTGAAAGTCTCCTGGTTTACCAAATATCCTAAGCCCTAATGCCATTAGGTCTCAACCGAAATCAGGAAATTCAGACTAAAACAGTGACTGTTCCAGCAGTGAAGGTCACAAGCCTTTCATCTGTTCCCATGAACTCTCCTTTGCCCAAATCCAGTATTAGCAGTGAAAGCATCCAACACACTCACGAGAAACAAACTGTGAAATGGAAGGACCACACAACAGGAGATGAGAACAGAGCATCTAACATGAACCAGTGTGTGAAGGATGAGTTTGTCTACAAACCAGGGTGCTGCAGCAAAGTGGCTTTCCAAGCACAGACTTTCCCAGTGATGGGGTCTCCTCTGAACTGAACTCACAGGATCTGCTCCAACAAGAGGTCAGCCCAGCCCTCCTCAAGCCCTGGCAGCTGCAGCAGCCCACGTATGGCTGCCTGTATTTACTGTATGAGCACTGCCTGCCCTGTGTGCTGCAGGGCATCAGTCCAGGCACACTTGCAACACTGACAGCCATCATCTTTGGCCGTGGCCTCTGCCACGTCACAAGGTCTTAGCGGCAATCGTGGCATCGAGGAACTAATGCCACGCAACTGAGCAACTGTCTTGAGCACAAATTCATAAGCTGGTGCTATTCCTGCTTAGTGCTAAAGTTCAGTGCCTCTTTTATCGTGCTGGAAACGTGTCAGGAGCTGGTTTTATTCAGTTCAGTAGAGCAACCTCTCTCCAAGGTCTCCCTTCTCACCACAGATGCAGTGCATCCAACCTTTCTGAGCAAGCCTCCTGCAATTCCTCACTGTGCCTTGGTCTTAAACCACAGGCTGTCACAGTCCACTCTGATCACTTCACATGCTCTTGGTAAGAGGCACCTCTGTGCCTTCTCTGCGTGTCTTGCCTGATTCCAGACTGGCCATGGATTGGAAAAAGAGTGGAACATGAAAAGTGGTAGCAGTTCTAAGGAGAATGAAGTCTTCTGTTGAACAGAAAAAGAGGAGGCGATGACCCTCCAACACAGTTTTGGTAATGCTGTCTCAGGCACAACCTTTAAAGCAGATGTGTCAGCCCAGGAACTCCTTTCACAATCCGCACACGTCTGATTTTTCATCACCCTTTTTCTCTGGAGGTAAAACAGAAAAAACAAATAATCCAATTCTCCAGGTCCCGAAAACTGACTGTACCAACTGTTCCCCGACAGACGGGAAGGCGTCAGTGCAGCCAGCATCCCAGGAATCTGTGGCACAGTCCAGCCAGGACTGGTTTGTGCTGGGAACCCGGGGCAACTCAATAACTTTGGCTTCCCAGGCCCTCCTCCCACACTGGAGGGTTTGGGATTATCCAGCAGCCATTGCATCACGGCACAGCCCTGTTGATGGCCTCATGATATAACCTTGGACAGGAGCCATCCTTGAGCTGCTTGAGAGATACTTATAAATCAAGAGCAACAGACGGAACTGTGAAGGCCACGGGAGGTCCAAGTAGATGGGTAACTGTACCTGGGGCCCTGTGCTCAGGACTCAGGGCAACACTGCAGGTTGGAATGGGGCACACAGTGATATGTTCTCATTTTAACCAGGCAAATCCAGCTAGACTGCAAAATATCCATCACTGTAATCAGGTGTGACTGTTTTGGAGAGTGACAAAGCAGAAAAGAGAGAGAACAGATCTCAAATAAATTATTTGGACCAGAGATATGCTAAGCCTCTGAGGAGTTCAGATGCATACACTGATTTTATTTGATAAGATGGGTAATTTGCAGCCTACTGACATCCTCAAGGTAACTAAATCCTACTCTGTTGAGGTGTCTCCATATCTCTACACCAGGTGCCCATCTGTAACTGTACAAATAAGCCTCCAAGACAGGGTGAGTGTCAGCTAAAGCATCCCAAATTTGCAGTTACTCTACCTAATGTGTTACAAACGCTGTAAGTACCAAACAGTACCACATGAAGCCAGGAGCAACAAGGGTAGGATCGAAACCCTGAAGAAACACATGCATTCTTCTGACCTAGAGCACTGTCAGGGTGCAGAAGAACAACTGCTTAAAGAGAATTAAGGTGCCAAGCCATGACCACTCACACCTGGCTCTTCACAGGCTGCAAACACAAGGCAATGGTTCAGGCAAGGAGCCCACAGGGGAACATTACAAGGGCCTTAGCAACTGATCATTAAACAGCAAACAACAGCTCTGTAGCCATCTGCCAGTCCCTTCAGGTGCTGTCTGCATGGCCACAGACACACACGGGCACAGGACCTGGCAGAGCACGACATCAGCTACCAGAGAGAATTCAGTGTCACAGGCACCAAGAGTGGGAGAGGGTGAAATCTGGATTAATGGATGGGGAACACAAATCCAAGGGTGCCCTTCAGCAAGTCAGCAGCTCCCCAGGATTGCATCACAGCCAAGAGAGCAGCAGGGCACACACACACACACGGCTCCTGCAGCCAGCAGAACGCCAGCTCAGCCATCTCCAGGCCTTCTCCTCGCTGGCAAACCAGGTTCAATTCCCTGCCCACGGCAATAGCTCGAGGCAGACAGGCATAGGAGCATCTCCACGTCTCACACGTGCTGCTGTCTCTCACCAGCACCACATTTCTAACGTTCACCCCAGGAGCAGAGTGTGTGACGACAGCACTGCTGCTGCTCCTGCAAGGTACTTGCCAAGCACGGCCTTTGTCCTGATAGAGCTGGGCCCAGGAGAAGCAGAATCATCAGCCTGCAGTACTCCAGCAAGGAAAATCCCTCTTGCCGTAGTAAAAGGGAAGTAAAGATGAAATCTGTAAACATTTTATTCCCACAATGAGCTAATAAGATCTCAGTAACTACTTCTTTTGTGTCAATCCAGTATGCTACAGTCCTCATGCAGAGGGATCCAGCACCTGGTTTATGAGGTACCATTTTCACTTTCACTAGAGTAAAAAGGGTTTTCTTTAGACTCTTCCAAACAAATGCAGGAATACCCTAACCCCACCATGGAGCCAGGTTTCAGAGGTGACTTGGGTCTTTTGCAGAGATCCGTATCAATAATCTTCATTAAGTATCTCCATGTTTTGAAGGTGTCCTGAGCCTAACTCTCAAATATTCAGGATGCTTCTATTTTCTCTGCACCCACTCTACAACCAGCATATGCTCAGTTCACAAAACAGAGTCATCTCTGTGTTGTAAGGAAAAGGAGATAGTTCTAAACACACACTGCTTTATGTTTGTCTCTCCAGGTTCTTAGGGTAAATCCGAAGGCTAAGCCTCCTTGCAAGTCTCAGCATCCTGTCAGGGCCAGAGGAATGTCACAGTGAGTATAAACACTATTGGATTGAGTATACTTGTCCCCCTAAAGTCTCTGGTTCCCTCCTGCCTTGTTTATTTTTCCACACACACTGGGAAAAAGCAGAAAGCCACCAGTGTTTTGCTGTCCACTGGTTCCTCAGCCAATGCAGTCTCCAGCAGCCAGAGTTACATCCCTTTAATTCAGCCTTATCTATTGACCTTCAAAGAGCAGGCTACACACGTTTTAAATTATTATTTACAGCATTCTAGAAATATTTTGCAAGGATCAGCTCCAGCTCATCTTCAGCAAGTGACTAAGAGGCAAGGGTCAGCATGAATATCAAGATCTGGACCCCAAGCTCTGGAAAAGGGCTTTCTGGCTTGGAACACTTCCCAGTCAGAATTGCCAAGAGAATTGATGGAGCAGATGACAGGGCTGGAAATGCTCAAGGAGCTGCCACACAGTTATACTTCAAAGATTCACTTCAGAACAGATAGTTGGTTTAGAACACACACTTGGCCAAGAGCTGGGGAGGTCAGAACACCTAAGAGGCAAACTTGCACCTTAACTCAGGCTGGGAGGGAAAGAGCTGATACCTTGGGTTATTTCAGAGAAAAGATTATTAAAAAAAAGACCAGTGTCACAACAAAACAAACCCAAGCACTTCATTTGCATACTTTTATGCAAGACACATGGTTTCAAAGCTGAATGAGAAAGATATGAGTGCACATCAACACTCCACCATGGCACAAGGACATATCTTCCACTACAAATATTTGATCATCTTAAAACTGCTTTTCTTGCCTAATCAGAGGCCTTGTTGTAACCTCTGTGTCAGCTGAGCTGTAAAGCAGGATGTCAGGACAGAGTACCAAAGATCCTGCTCATTTCTCTACATTCAGCCTCACTGTAGCTACCACATAAACCACACAAGCCAGGAAGTACCAGATCTGGGATCAACTAAACCATGTCAGGATCTCTGTAGAAGGGACAGCTACTGGCAAGCAGCACTGATATTCACATAGAGACTGCAAGATGTGGGCAAGTAATTGCCTTAAAGCTCTAAACACTTACTGGTTATCAGCCCCTCTTCCTGCTAACTTGGTGCTCACAGACCGAGGAGTTATTTCCTCTTGAAGCACTTGAACAGAGGCTCTCCGTGGGGTATTTATCAGCCTGGGATGGGAACAACAGATAAAACACTCTGAATCTTTTTCTCTTTCAAAGTAAAGCACCAGCCACACAGCCAGGTTTGTGCCTAAGGGAGATTCAAGCTGTAAAAGTCCCCTTTCTTTGCCATCCAGATGCAGAGTCCCTCGGCGAGCCTGACCGGGTCTGCCTACGGGAGCACGCCTGTGTTCACAAAGGTAAGGAGCACAGGCTGTCTGAACAGCAGAGCTTGCTCTGCAGCTACCAGCACTAGATTGTGGGTTTTCTTGTTCCATCAGAAGCTATTTCTAGGCTGGAACATCGGTTCATGTACAACTCAAAAAAGCCAGCGTACTTCGTTGGTGATGACTATCAAATTAATGCCTTGATTGGTAAATGATCCAGACAGAACTATGTGAGTTCATCTTATTTGTTTCCTGCAAGGGAGGTTGAAGTGGAAACCTCTCACATAGTAACTTCTCTTATAATGTTACATCCACTGGAATAGATGTTTTTTCCTGCGTTTGTATCTTTATTTAACTGCACAAGCAAGGCTCTAATGAGCACTGGTTTACTGGTGAAAAAAACCTCCCCTCACAACCTGCTGCAAATGCATTTCGAATTAAATCAACTCCTGTAAGTAAAATAAAAATAGGGGCATGAGACCATCTTCTTCCCTGAAGGATGTATCATTTCCTAATAATTGCTTTAATGGGGAAATACTTAGATCAGACATTTAACACAAATATTTTTCTCCTCCAGGGTCTGCAAAACATAAGGGCTACGAAGGGTCAGTTGGTGGTGTTTGAATGTCGAATTCACTCTACACCCACCCTACAGGTTCACTGGTACAGAGAATATGATCAGATCAGAGATTCTGCTGATTTCCGAATCCTGCAAAAAAGTAGGTGCTGCTACGTCTGCTTGATGTCATTTTACTGGGACAGTGATGAGACAGGAAGAAGAACTGCTATAAAAATCAGGAGATTGTAGACGTTCATAGAGGCAGAGTTAAGTTTACAAGTATCAGATGACCTGAAGTCACAGGCTGGGCAGAGTCTGCACTTCCTCTGGCAACGCATGAGAGGGTCGGGCACAACGGGAGGAGATTCCATCCTGTTAGTTATTAATGACAGCACTGCTGAGCCATGGAGGCATTGTCACCGTGTGTTAGAACTACTGATGGGCTCAGGGGGAAAAGACATAGATATATAAATTTTAAAGATTTTCTGATTCTCCCAGGCATGAGGCCAGAGCTCCAGCGTGCCAAATTCACAGCAACTAACCCCGAAGTCAGAGGAGCTCTTTCCATGTCACCTCTGTGGAGAGGTGTTTGTACCCCCAGGTTCCCCAGCCAAACCTGAGCTTTCCCTACCCAGATGGTATTTCTCTTGATGGACACAAAGGGAGATGGTCCCTTTGTAACCAGGGGGACAGCTGAGGTGGGGAAGGGAGTGAGGGCTGAAGGTCTTTTTTTCCATTCTGGCCTTATAACCATTCAAATTTTTTTCTCTCTTATTTTGAGCAGAGGCTTGTTCATCAGCAGTTCCTGGTAAGTACATTGTGCATGTTTTGTTAGACATTTCACCAGTTAATTACCCCACGCTTGGGATTTCTCACCAAGATAAAACAATAATGTCCAAAGGGTGGTCAGAACACAACATTCAGAGCCAGACCAAGAGCTTTCAAGTTCTTAATTTTGAAAAAAAGCACCCAAAAGGCCCTGAGTTTTTTCACAATACAATGAAAAAGGTATCGACTCTCTTTAATTAAGTCAGTTTTCCCTGTGCTAAGGGAAAAACATATCCACCATTCTGAATTATAATCTTGTATGGAGTTTAAACTTGTGCAAGAGAAGACAGAATTCAGCAAAAAAAACCCCCAAACCCCAACCAACAAAAAACCAAAACAACAAACAAACAAACAAAAAACCAAAACCACAACACACCTACAAAAAATGTGCCTTGTTTCATTAATATCACAGGAAAAAAGTGTCTTCCTTCATTTTTTGTTCCTTCTGAATCCCTTAACATCCTATGCCCTATACATCACTTTTTTGCATTTTACTGATGCCAAGCCCCATCATTAAGTCACAGTCCTCCTGCAAGGACCAATTCCTATGGTTTAACATTTGGCTCTCTGGTAAAACATCACGCCTGAATTTGTTATTTCAGAGGAAGTCTGCACCCTGGTTATTACAGAAGCTTTTCCAGAAGACTCTGGAATATTTAAATGTGTTGCTGAAAATGAATTTGGATCTGCAGCATCCAGTGCTCATCTCTCTGTTTCCCCGGGTAAGCACATGGATTTCTGTGTTGAGCAAAGAATAAGCACAAAAGAATTTGCTGCAGCTCAACACCAGGCAGAACCACAGATATTTGCCAAGCAGAAGCCAGACCCAAACAATTTTGTAGGCTCAAGAGAAGAGAAATCCCCCAAAAATGCAATCTTCTTGGGTACCTGTCAAAGTTGGATCCCAGTTGTTCTGTGTTTCTGCCTTTGATCCCTCTTCTACCTGGGTCAAGGATGACAATGTGGAGATGATGTTCCTTCTCACAGAGGAGTCTCGTCCCTGAGCTTCATCCCTTCAGGGATTCCAGCGTGGCCCAACACATGGGCTGTGTCTGTACCTTGTTTATTGTAACACCTGACCTGCCTGGCTTGTGCTGAAGGCCACCTGCAAACAGAACAGCACCTTGCATGCATCCCAAGCTCAGCAGCCCTGGTGAGAAGGGGCAGGTTTCAGTCTCTGCAGAGCCCAGGCAGGCTGAGCTCTCATCCACCTGCTCAGACATTCCAGCCTCCTGCCCCCTTGTTATTGCATGTGTTGTGTTGGTGAACCACCACCCCTTCCTACCTGACTTGGGGACAATTCTGCTTCCAGGAGCAAAAGAGCTGGAGAGCTTTTCAGGTGCTGCCCACAGGCCAGCTGTGCAGGTCACCATGAAGAAACCCACCTTCCCCAGGAACAGCCAGGCAGGAGCCAAGGACCGAGGGGCATCTGGCCTCCCATCCTACAGCCCAGAGACCCTGGGGCTGGGCAGTCGAGCAGCAGCCACCAGCTTTGCTCAGATGAACTCCAAGGGCCAAGCTGAAGATTTTCATGGAGCTTATGAAAACTCACCTCGGGCTTCACCTCTGCGGTAAGACAAAGAAAAAAATCACATCCCTGGGTTAGCTTTTTACAACACTTAGGGGATAAACTCTCCAGTGATTCAGCTGCAAAGCTCCAGTGTCCCTTACCCTGACAGGGGTTCCCATGCAGTCACTTGAGCTGTTTGCCTGTGTGACAATGGCAATGTGTAACACCAGCCCAGCTACACAGGCTCGATTTGACAGAGTGTGTCATTACCCAAAGGCTCAGGTAAGTGCCTGATGGCACTGTCAGAACAGCCTATCTGTAAGTAACTAAAAGGCATCACCCCAAATCATTAGCCTCTAGAAGACCTTTGGCTCCACAGCAGAGCACGAGACAAAAATCACAATACCTGGGAAGTGTCAAGGTACAATTCTGCCACCTCCTTTCTCTGTAGCTTTGGCCAAGTGGCATCACTTCATGTTTCTGTTTCTTATTCTGAAAGACAGCAGAAAAACTCAAGGTGCTGGTAGCACAGTGCAGATGGTACCTGCAAAGCACCTGTGGAGGGGAAGTACTGAACCAGTGACCCACTGGATGAAGTGAAAACTGTCCCATGGCATGGCAGGGACAGTCCCCACTCAGGAGATGGAGATTCCCCCACAGTAATAAAGTGTTGCATCTTATAACAAGACTCGATCCAATTTCCATCTCAAATGCAGCTCTTAAGTCACTGTGCACTTATTACATTATCAGTTATCATGTTTGATTTTTCCAGAGAAGCAAAACAAGTTAGAACACACATATTGGCAATGCCATCCCCATTTCTGTAGTGTTTCTCAAGGGTTTAGAGGCAGAATGGTGACCTCAAAGGGTGACAGTTCAGATCAGACATCCAAGCCCAGCAGAGGAGTTTCCTCAGCCCTGTTTGTGGCAGTGGGAGCTCCGAGGCAGACGTGTGGCTCCTCTCCCAGCTGAATTCCAGCCTGGAACTGCAGTGATCCTGTTACAGCGTGTGTAAACGGCTGTCCGTGACAGAGAGCATTCCCTGAGGGACAGATTATTTTGGGATGTGCTCAGCCATTTTAACTAAACCGGTTATTTTAACAATTCTGAACACCCCCTTTCCAAATTTCACTAGAGGAGAGATCGTATTTCAATATGGATGTATCCATGCACGGGAATTATTTCACTAAATCACTGAGTAACACTGGGTTTGCTTCAATAACTTGCAGATCACTAAGAGGAGGCTCTCAGTTTGGCTTCAATGAAATCCAGGCTTGCTCCAGGGAAATCAGCTGGGACACTAAAAAGACCCCACTGCATGAAGGGATATAACATGCCATCAAAATCAGCTACTTAATAGCTTTTTAAAATATAAAACATTAACTAGTATACAGAGCTGCACATTGCTTTTGATTGACAGCAGTGCTGAACCAGACTTTGGACACATCTCAAGATACAGAGTGAAACTACTAAAATATACCCATCTATGAGCATTTAAATATCTTTAAAGCCCACAGACTTTATGCCATGTGCTTTGAAACATCACTATGAATGAGACACAGCATTGTGAATGTTGCTGTAACCTCAAACTCAGCAATCATGGCTGTAAAATAAATCTTTTTAGTCAGATTTAGCATATAACTCTCTCATGTAGCATATGTGGTTGCAACTGTGTTACCAAAGGCAAATACCAACAGTGATGACAGAACAAAGCCATTACTGGGAATAACTATAAAATGAACAAAACCCTCGTACTCTTATTTCTCCCAATTATTGCTTAGTAACAGCCACTCCACAAAAGCCAGAAAATGCAATTCAAGAAGACTCTCACTACTCCTTTCTGAGCCCTTTATACCTGCAGATTACAGTGTGTCCTTCTCAACAGCCTTAAAGGAGCAGAACAAAATCTATGCTGATTATTAACTTCATTAAAGGAACTTAATCCAAGCAAAAGAAAAGGCTTCAGGCACTAACTATACTGGCAGGCCTTTTAATTAGCTTTTAAGTGTCCTTAATAAATAAGCAAAATATTCTTAACTCTCCTTCTAGACATTTTTTGCTGTGTGACTCAAGCAACTAAGGAGAACCTGATCAGTCACAGCAGGTCACCATTCTTAGAAAGTAAACTGAAGCAGGACAGAAAAGCTGGTTTCTAACACCTCGCAGTGCTGGGCACTGCACTATTAAGTTACTTGGCACAGGCAATGAGATTTATTCCTCTGCTTTTATCAGTTCAGCTTCCAGTTCTTTCTTTCTTTTTTTTTTCCCCTACCTTCTGGATCTCACGTTTTTCTGTTCCTTCTCTTTCACTCAAGTCATCCCACTTGTGTCCAGTCTCCAAAGTGTATAAAGCTGTCCTTAAATTGGTGCCCTGCAGCCAACTTTAGTTCTGAACTAAGCACTCTGCACCCTCATTGAAGTCGGTGGGGAGTCAGGGAGCCTGTCTGAGCACACAGCCTGGCCTTTACCATGTTCACAGCTTCCTGCAGGGCAAATGATCATCCCACGGGTACCTTTTTTTTTTTTAGTACTCACTCCGTGCAAACTAACGATTTTTAATTTTTATTTTTTTTACCTCAAAAGCAAATAACTTCAACAACAACTAGGGACACACTCCCTCCCTTAATCACTTCCACGAGGAAAAATTTAAATAAATTAGCACTCAATTAACACCTCCTATGTAAGTTTTAGTTCACAAACGCTGGATGTTTAAATACAAACACTAAATGTGGATTAACCTCTTGAAGATCGCTGTGCTGACAGACTCAAGGGCACAGTGAGGGGAGAGAGGAGAGGCTGAGAGCCCACACTCAGGCTACCTGCGGTACTGTCAGGCTTGGGGTGCTTTTAAACAATAGGCAAGAGTTGCCAGAGTATAAATAAGATAAATTAACAGTATAGTATTTTAAGTAAGATGCAATTAGGCATTGAACTGTTGATTAAAGGGATACGAATCACCTAATCTGCCAGCAGGATCTGTTGCTGTGCTGGTGAAAACACCATAGTTGCATTTTTTTAGTCCATGTAAATAGCTGTAATAATGAACACAGACATAGAACTATAAATATTTAACATATTTTTATCATATATTATTTTTGTAAGTCTAGTGTTGCTGTTCAGCTTGTGACTGTTCAGACACATCCACTGCTCCTGACTGAGCTCTGCACTGGAGCGGGGTAGGGGTTGCCCTGGGGCAACGTTTAAATAAGGAGTACCTGTTGCCTGTAAATGCACAGCCTTGAAAGCAGAACCAGGGTGTTATCACTACTCAGGCAATTAGTAAATGAATTAAACAAGGAATTTAGAATCAGAGAGTGGTTTTGGTTGGAAGGCACCTTAGAGATCACCCAGTTCCAAATCCCCTGCCATGGGCAGGGACACTTAGCACTAGACCAGGCTGCTCAGGGCCCCGTTCAACCTCGCCTTGAACACTTCCAGGGATGGGGCAGCCACAGCTTCTCTGGGCAACGATTTCATTGGGATAACGGAGTGGGATTTAGGGACATTCAAACATACTGCAGCAGTCCTTCCTCGCTGCTCCCTGGCGGTTCTACGGGCAGAAAAGCTGCTTTTCTGTTCAAAAGCTGCCGCCTTTGGTTCTCTCCCTTCTCCTGCGGAGCGAGGGGCGCTCCCGGGAGCGGCCGCGTCCCCTCGGGGCAGGACAGGACGGGACGGGACGGGGAGAGCCGGGACCGGCAGCTCCTGCCCCCCGCCACCCCCAGAGCTCCCGGGGGAGTCTCCAGACCCGGAGCGGGGTCCGGGAGCGGGGCCAGACCGGGGGCAGGAGCGGGGTCCGGCGGCCGCCCCTTCCAGCAGCGCCCGGACCGGCCCCTGCGAGCGCCGGGCGGTTCCACCGCTGCCCCCGGCGGGGGATTCGCTGCCCGCGGGCACCGGCCCAAATCCCCGGCTCCGGCCCCGGGACGGGTGTCCGGGCAGTGGAGACTCTTATTGTGACAGCGGCGGGGGCCGGGGACACGCGGGTCCCGCGGTGTCACCGCTGGCAGCACATTAAAGCCTCCGGCCCCGTAACGCCGCGCAGAGGGCGGCTATGACAGCCCGGGCCGGGGAATGACCGTCCCTGCCCCAAATACCGCGTAAAACCCAGGTGACAACTTCTAGGCTGTAGGTAAGGTGCTTGTTTGGGTTTTTGGTTTGTTTAGGGTTTTTTTTTCCCACGTCACTTTTTGCTTCGAGGCTGGTTAGGGAGGTGGCATGAGCAGCGCGCCGGGAATGCTGAGGTGGAAAGGTGCCTTTAAGGTGAGGTGGTGTCAAAGGTAACAGAGGTGGGCGGCAACAGAGGAACAGTGGAAATAGAGGAAAAAAACCCGTTTGTTTTTTGTTTTGTTTTGTTGGGGGTTTTTTATTTGCCTTTTTTTTTTTAAGCCAGCTGTCCCTATTGTTACTTACTGCTGTCATCTCGTAAGGTCAAAAGTCTCTTCGGATTTATTTTTTTTTTCCTCCCGAATCAAGGTGGAATGATTTGAGGAAAACGATAACTTACCCCTCGCTGTGAGTCAGAGCTTGCTGTGCTCTAGAAAACAAAGTAAACGCTGGTTTTCTGTGCACAGCCTGTAGGCAAAACGAGTGTAAAAATCTGTACACAGGTAGTCATATAAAAATGGGAAAAGGATAAGACTCAACAAGTTTTCTGCATCAGTGAATGAGAACATAGTGTGGACATGCTCCAAAAATTTGAGCCAGCTTCAAATTCCAAGAGCATGACAAGGGGAAAGTTAGGGAATTTTTACTATAAAGCCTCTGTTTACATACAGTTAACGTACAACTAATATTGATGATCACCTTTAGGAAATGAAAGCCTTGAATCTTTGAAATGAAAGTGATGTCTTCAGTTATGTCCCCCCATGGGGATTTATGACCTCTTTGGGCTCTCCAAGGAGAGGAATACAATATACTGGGTATATATAGCAGCAAAACAGCTGATCTCGATGGGGCAAGATTACAATTTTTTCCAGCACATGTAACTGGGTGGATTTATATTCTCTTTTTTTTTTTTTAGTAGTAGCTTTATGTTTATTTGGGGGGATTATTTTTTTTTATCCTGGAGTTGAAATTGTTTGTCCATTTTAACAAGCTTGCTCAGCTCAGTCTAATGAAGCTTTCCTGGGTGTTTAGTTGATGGAAAGCCCAGGTTTAGATATCAAGCACCTGCAAAATAGATGCACCCCTTATCCTGCAGCTAATTGCCAGAATGACATTAGTAGGTTGAACAGCAAGTCTTGGGAAATCACTTCAAATGGAAAAGCACAGTCCTTGGCATTCCAATCCCAAATCTCAGTTGGATATGAAAAGCTCTGAATTCAAAACCCATTAAAGAAGAAATCAGGACACTTGCTTTCAAAGGTTTAGTTTTAGGATTAAAAGAAAGTGGAACCTGTTTCATGCTTCCCTATGGTATAAGGAATTTCTCAGCACAAATAGCCAATTCTCTGAGGAATAGTACATTTAGTATTTTTACAGGGCACAAAGTAGAAGGATCCAGGGATCTTTAGCTGAAATGATATGTAGCAAATTACCTTGCTTAGCAGTAGTATCCACAGTTATCTGCAGACTTATGCAGGTGGTGAGGGGTCTTGATAAAACAAGTGCTATTTATTCAGAATTTACTGGGCTCTTGCATATAAGAGCCAGAGTGAACACTGTGCCTGAGTCAGACAGACTGCATGGGTTGTTATTGTAATCCAAAATGTTCAGACAGTTCAGGAATAGTTCTAATAAATCCTAAATATCTTTATTCTAAGCTCAAGCTTTAATTGTCAGTTGCCTGAACCTCCTATTCTTTGGATTGCTAATGACTGCTCACGACACAGCATTTTTGTGATTCAGCTTGTGATGTACAACTTATTTTATCTGTATTGTCTTCCCTAAGGGAAAATCCACATCAGGAAAGCCTCTATTCTGCAAGGCAAGGGTTCCATTCTATCCAGGAGCCCAGCCAAGAAAACTTTTGTGGCCTGCCACCTAGTTTTTACCAGCCACCCATCCAAAGCCAGTTATCACCAACAAAAACCCAGGACAGCCGCGAAACCTCTCCTATGAGTGTCCCCAACCTCCCATCCGTTTCCTCCATGTGCCAGCCAACCATGTTTAACTACGAACGTCCAAAACACTTTATCCAGTCTAAGAATGTGTGTCAAGGGCAGCAGCAGCCTCCGGGACCCGCAGCCTCCGCGGAGTCGAGCAGAGAGATCAAACAGTCCTCCATCCTCATTCAGCCTCGCAACCCGAGCGGGCAGAAATTCTCCTCCTCGTCATCGCTGAGCTCTTCAATCACGCTCTCCTCGCCTTCCTGTAGTGCCCCCAAGGAATCCACATATCCCATCACTCCTGCATCTGCACAGTCTCCTGCTAGCTCATCATCTGGGCAGAGGCTTATCCCCATGCCTAACCAATCCCCCGCAGCATTCCTGTGCTCAGTGCTCCCCTCGCAGCCCGACTATAACAGCCAAACTCCTTCTCCCATGGAACCTCAGTAAGTATAAACAGCCTTCTAACCTCCCCCTGCTTCCCTCCGGCCTGGCCTCTCCCGTGCACTGACCATCCCAAATCCAACCACCCCACGAAACACCAGCAGGGGCCAAAGCCAACGGCTCAGCTCCCACTGACCTCCCGTGTTCAGGGCAGGACTCTGCAGGAGTCGGGTTGGGAGGCTGAGAGCTTTGCCCCTGGCAACTGTGTGGGAGAGATGGGTGTCCATCAGGAATTAAACTGCACAGTGGCCGTGTCACAGGCTGCTGTGTGGGTTTTCTGGAGTCAGTTTGAGTAGTTTAGTTTGATTTGAAAGAAACCTCTTAATTAGGGTTATTCAGAGCAGAGGATTGACACCCATCTCAAATTAATTTCCTCATCGAGCATGGCTTATGAATGGGGAGATGGGGGAAGGCAGTAGTACTTCCCACATATAAACAACTTGGAGAATTGTCCTAGTAAGTCTCAGCAGTGTTTTCAGGTTCCTCATCACGGTGGAACTTTACACTCACCTACAATACCCTTTCCATTAATCATACATGCAAACAGAAAGGCAGCCACTTGAAAATATTACCCCTTTAGACCAAAGACTAAATTCTTTCCTGAATATGTATTATATCATTTTGCCTTTGGGCTGCAATCCAAATATCTCCCAAGGTCAGTGAGATCTCAAAGGGAGCTGGGCCTTGCCTTCTCACCAACTTGTATTCCTGCCAATATTAGCTGGAGGTCCTGGGGAAAGTCAGGGCAGAATATGCACAAACACTCAACTGGAAATATTAGAAAGGTGATAGGGGCAGGGGTCCTGCTGGCCTGGATATAAATCAAGGTTTAAGTGTCAGTTTGCATTCAGGTAACCTGAATGCTTCTGGGGGGTTTCTGAGTCACAGCACTGTGGGAAGAGGGAAGGTAAGACAGACTGGGTGAGCTGGGGCTCTCAGGAGTGTTTGCTAAACTCCTGCAGGAGTGTGGGGCATTAGAAACACATGTGGAGTGACTGCTGGAGTTTGTGTGTGTAGTGTGGGGTTGTTTGTTTCCATAGCAAAGGGTGTGGGTGCCTCACTATGCTTTTCAGATAAGCTGCTCTTAAATGCAACACCCAGAGAGTTGAGGAATTATTTTCCCAATCACGCTACTAATGGGCGAATGGGGACATGAGACATATTAATCTGCTGGGCAAATTATTAAAGTTTTTAAGTTATAACTTAAGCAAGTTATTAAGTCCGAGCCGTGCTGGGAGTATTCCAGAATTATAACCCTTCTACCCTGCTCTAATGAGCAGAATTCCCAGGTGACAGGGGGAAGAGGATTTTCAACAGAAACAATTTCTGAACCCAAGTGCAGCACACGAAGGCTGCACATCACAAACAGGGTTATAGGTCCTGTCAGCACAGAGTGCTGTGACCTCCAGCAGACCTTTGCAGCCCCTTCTGATGGATGCTCCTCTTTTCCCAGCATCTTTCAGAATCAAATGTACTATCAAACTCCAGGAGTTGATCATGTCTGTTGGCTATGGATTACAGGACCAGGATACGGGAGGGGCACGACACAGGGATGCTGAACAATGAGTGTTGTGGGAGGACACTCAATGACTTGGCTATGCCATGATGCTTTCCCTTAAGTTTTTGATACCCAGCCTGGCCCATTCATCTCCCAGATGCTTTATGGGTTCATTTGAACCACAGTTTTTAGGAGGCAGGTTCACATTTCTGTGTGCATTCAGTGAAGCTGCAGCAAACAGCCCAGCAGGCCCACGGGAGTGACTTTGTTTTCTCTTCCTGCACGAGCAGTTACTCCCAGCCAATGTATAACAAACAAGCCAGCATCAACTCTATGCAGAAGACATCAGACCAAGAAATTCGAGGAACAAAAGAGGCCCTCATTCAGGACTTGGAAAAGAAACTCCGATGCAAAGACAGCCTTCTCCAGAATGGCAACCAGGTAAGGGAAACCTGCTGGTTAAAGAGCCATTTGATGGGACTGTCAGTAGTGCAAGCAGAGATGCAGAGATGAGTTCTAGTACCCCAGAGGCTGGAGCCTCCAAACTGAGCTAAAAGCCAAAGGAAATGCAGGAGCAACACTGCCCAAACACCTCTACTCAGAACCTCAGCAGATCCCACGAGAGTTCTTTGAGCCATTTGCCAACAGAATGTTCTTTCAGTGTGATGTGGCTGAACTTTTCCATTAGAAACGTTAAAAAAAAATCTCTTGCAACAGCAACTCCATTTTTAATCATGGGTCAGGGGTGGTGAAAAAGGTGTGGTTTAGGAAGACTTACATCCAACCTCTTCATTTCCCAGCACCTTTTCACAGTTATTTTTGGTATTAGAATGCAGAGAGCTGCTCTGGTGGGCCAGGCTCAGCTCAGGACCAAGAAGGCCCTCCCCAGCAGAGGAGCAGCACATGGGCAGTGCATGATGGAAGCCTGAATGTGTGGCAAGAGAGATGGTTGCTGTGAGTGTGTCTGTGGGCATTTACTGTGGCAGCTGAATGTCTGCATCTCCCCTGACTTCAGTAAGGGATGTGTTGACTTCTGAAAGCCATTTGATACAGCAATGTGGCTTTGAGCTGCTATTGCCTTTCCCTCTTATCTTGCAACCAAATTAAGTCCAGGCTCAACAGAAAGGTGCATGTTTAGAGCTGTGGCACAGATTTGAACTCTCTGTTGGGGGTCCTGCTGAACATCATATCCACACACAACTAGAAACCCCAGGAGAATCCCTCAGTTCTGCAGATATGGCTTCACCCTGGCTTTCAACACTGGGGTTAACAAACCACTCAAAATCATTAGAACGTGGAGAAATATTGGAATATTTGAAAGCTCATTCTAGAGACTACCACCACATATGGTAAACTTCTTTGATTTCTTTTTATATGAACAGCAACAAATGAAAGAAATTACATGAGCTTTTATCATAAAGTCTGTCTCCTATAAGAAGGCTTCAGTCTCAGTACTTAATTATTTATTCTGCAGAGGGACAAAATGCAATCCTCTTTACCAAGGAAGCTGAATCTGGGAGAAAAATTTGCTTACCAGTAGGGAAGCCCATTGCAGCAAGCTAGAGTAGGCAGGTCTGTAATGTGGGAACCTTCCTGCAACTGGAGGCAGACTGCTAAAAGCCCAGTGTTAATAGGTTCCATCTTCTTTCCCCTGAAGCAGAAAGGAGTTTTTTCGTTATCATCAGTGGGAACACATTTGTGCGTAATTTTAAATACTGAAGGGGAAAACAAACAGGTCAAATCTGACTTAATGTGTCCCTAACAGGAATGTCCTATCTGCTGGGAGAAGGCTTGTTGTAGCAAGTCAGCTTTTCTTCCCATAGGAAGCCAGGCTAAAAATAAGGCTTATGCAATCACCACTCTGTGTCCTCCTCCCCTTGTCCTCCAGCAGCGTCTGACCCCACTGGCCAATCTCAGCCACACTTGATACAGACGTAAGGACTCAGGGTTATTAAGCCCTCACAGGTTTGGCTAAAGGTCTCATGCTCTCTTCTAAAGAAAAGTCCCACAAGCCTCCCCAGCCTTTACCTACCCAGCAGCAAACACAAACACACACACACACGTCTTGTTCACAGCAGAAATTCAGTCTGAGCTTGTCCGCACGTCACAAAATCCAAACTTGAGTTAAACTTGGTGGGCAGCGAAGTGTCAGGTGTTCCGGTGCTCAGGGGAGTAACAAACTCTTCTAAATTCAAGCTGACATAGCTTGAATTTAACTCTGCTCATTTTTATCACTGTGTACCGCATCTACTTTGCAGGAACTTTCTGTTTCATGCCTGAAATGTGTCCTTGCCTCCCCTACACTCAGCACACAGCATTTCAACCAGTGGATGCTGCACTGGGATAAAGTTCCCTCGTGCTTTCAGAGGGGTAGTGCTGCTCCCCTCTGGCTGTGTCTGCTTCTGGTGTGGCTCTTGCTTTTTTGGGAGCAGGGGATGCCAAGCATCCATCATGCCTGTAGCTCCACAGCTGAATGACTTGGGAAGTTTTCCCAGTGCTAACAGAGAGGTACCCTGGGACTTAGTCTGGCTTCTGAGGATGATGCCATCAGTTACCCATAAATAATCCCAGCAGAGAAAGAGGAGGAGTGGAAGGCCACAGATGGCATTAGAGAGGCTTTGATGAACAGGCAGTTTAATCTTTTCTGCATTTCAGTGCTGTATATATTGAGCTGACTTCAGTGGGCATCACAGACCGCAAACCCTCCGGGCCAGACGTGGGGCTTCTGTTCAGCTGCTGCTTTCATTGACAACCCCCTGAATTCATGGCATATTAATGTGCCCTTACAAGCTGATCTGAAATAGTACATGGACTTCTGACTAGAATTCCTCTCCACTCTGCTTTAGAGATTAACTTATGAAGAGAGAATGGCTCGCAGGCTGCTCGGACCAGTGAATGCTGCCTCTGTGCTGGAAACACAGAGTGAGGACAACATGCAGAATGCACAGGTAAATGGGGACCTGTCTGTAGAACGAGGATTTCCTGGTGATTGTGCTGTGACCTGCTCCTACCTGAATGGGGCAGAGATGGGGGTTGTTTGGTACCAGTGCGGGGAGGGGGCGGCTGTGCCTGGCAGAGCTCTGTACAGGAGAGATTTGGGGCTCTGGGAGGTGATAGCAGAGGGAGGGGGGAATTTAAGCACCATTCCCTTGCTGGGCCTGATCTGTAGGAATGACCTCTCCAGGGAGGAATTACAACAGCTGCTGCACAGCCTGGGACAGGCAGGGAGCAGCACGGGGAGGGATCCAGGTACCCAGTGCAGGCTTGGCCAGAACAGCAACATTACACCTGTCACTGACAATGTCAAATAAGTGGCATTGGCTACAAGAGGTCAGGGCCTTGGGGTGGGATCAGATGGGCTTTAGCCCTTCTGGGGGTCTGCAGTCATTGAGAGAAAGCAAAGCAGTTGTTTTAGCAGCCCACATGCTGATAGACAAGAATCTGTTACTACTGGCATTTTCAAAAGAGTTTCAGTTGGAGACTTGCATCATTTGCTGGTTATTCAGGCCGGTTAGAAGCTCCCTTTGGCACTTCTGTGCTCAAAGTTAGTGGAAATGTCCATGGTATGGCACTGGGTACCTGTGCAGCCAAAGAAAACATCCCTCCTGCTGCTGCAGCAAAGAGCCAGGGGCAGGCAAACACCTGCCAAAGTGCAGTTAGCAAAACTCCTCCATGTAAGAGACACTTAAGATCACAGCAAGGGAGGAATACACAATTTGAGCTATTTCTCCCCAACAATCACCTGGCAACAGCAGGCAAGAAGGGAAAATTATGAATGTCAGACAGCAAAGGAAGCCTCATCCTTTGCAGAGAACAAGGAAGCATTCAGTCAAAATAGGATGACTGACAACTTTTCAGCATGGGTGAAATGCTGCTTTAAAAAAGAGTATTGGAAGCAGAGATTGCCTCATGTTTGGGATATCTTATTGCCATTGTTCAGTCTTATTTTTAAATTGATTCATTCAGCCTGCTGATTCCTCAGGAACTTAACTACACAGTCAGTCCATGGAACAGATCATTAGAATCATCAGCAACTTCATCACTACAGCATCATTTCACAAGACAAGTAATAACTGTACAGAGTGAGCAGATCCAGGCAACTGCCTTTGGACTCAACACTGAACTCAGTCCAGCAAAACCCTCGTCCATGTAACACTTCCCCTGAACTGAAGGCTGCTTTGTGCTTGAACTTTAAACCCAGGCTTAAATGTTCCCCAGGACTGGGCTACAGAGCACAGAACCAAGCACTGGAATGGCTCAATGCAAACACTCCAGAAATTTCCATGCAGTGTTTGCTCTCTCTGACTCCATTGCTAAAACGAGTCGCTGGCAGCAAACTCTGCTGCATTTTCCAAACATCCAGGCTCCTAACAGGAATCAATCCTGGGCACTTTGGCAGATTTAGTCATGTGATTGTGGAGTTGTCAGCGAGCTTAGTTGGTGCTGTGATCTAGAAAGAAAAGTATTTTCCAGCTCAGCAAGTGTCCATGGCTGTTGGTGCCATATTTAAGTGGGCACAATACAACGCCCCTGCCAGCGACTCCACTTCTATTCCTGCTATGGGGAAGGACACTCTGTACTTGGCTCTCATTTTAGACACTGCCAGTAGTACTGCTCCCCTCTAACAAGGGTTATTGGCTGGCCCAGAGCCTCGGGTGCCAAACAAAACTGCCCCTCTCACCTGTGCAGTGATGAGAAGTTCTGCCCTTCTATTCATGGCACTTGTCACTGTCGTGGCAAAGCCTACAGTGAACACAGAGGGTGTCAGGTCCTGATGCCACTTCCTCCACCTCTTGTCCCAGGGACTTCTGAAGTATAGTCAGTTTGCTTTCAAGCAGCAGTCAGTATAAAAACTTAAAATGGCTTCTTGTTCAGTTTATAGATAAATCTTTGTAAGTGAACTCACCTCTCCTCTTTCTCTTTCCAAGCACCAGAATGCAGAAAACGTCAGGCTGCAGGTTCCTACAACACATGTAAGGTAAAGCATGAACTTTATGCTATTCTTCAAGACTTTATTTCAAATGTTTCTAGGCAGTGTTAGTTTAACTTCACTACTTAGCCCTTTTTCTAAGGTAGTAATTACCAAACTTTCTCGCTTCCTTTCAACTAAAATGCTGGTGTTTGTGGATGGTTGATGATGCCTGTGATCTTAATCCAGTGAATTCTAAGCATAGCACTAGAGGTTTAAAAACTCCATGCACCTTGGGAAAATATTCCCTGTATTCTAGAAGATTAACTTCTACTCAAAGCAAGGGCTGAGAATGCAAATGTTGAAACACAGCATGACAGAACACAGATTATTGTCAATTCTTTTGGATATTAGGCCAAAGATGAAGGTTATGCCTCTGTGTTGAATTGAACAACTTGAGCAAGAGAAGTGGTTGCTCAAAAGCCACACCTTGCAGCTGAAAAACCAACCAGAACCATAGTGTTGGATTCTTAAATGTGTTGTGTTGGATTCCTAAATGTGTCATGTTGGATTCCTAAATGTGTTGAGGGACTCCAGCTGCAATCAGAGCTTCAGTGTCATTTGTGCTACGGTAACTTTTACACAATTACCTGTTTCTGTCCCCTTTTCAGGAGCAGACCATCCTCAAGAGGAGATGAACGTGGACATGACTCAATCCAGGAGAAGTTTTTCCAGCCCCGTTTCACACAAGTGCCTGAGGACGTGGTCATTGAGGAGGGGCGGTTCTGCAGGCTCGACTTCAAAGTAACACCAACTTCTCCCTTCCCATTCCATTCCCTCTTGGGGTGTGGGGCGTGGAGAGAGGTCTCTGAGCACAGAGCACTAATAGCAGGTGGTGCAGGGTCTCCCTGGTTGATGTAGACCAAGAAATAGGAGATGGCCAAACGTTTCAGCATTTTCCCTTGGAAAATGTAAATGGAATTAGCTGCATAAGAATACGGTGAAAGCTAAATAGTGGTAAATGTGGATCACCATAGACCTCGCTGGGAAGAATGAATATTATTAATGCTCTGCTGAAAAATAGGCATTTTGGCACTGGGATTCCACTGCTTCAGTGGACACATCCTGGACACACATCCAGTGAAGTCTGTCTAGGACCAGCCTGCCTTTACTGAGTCTTCCCTGAAGCCACTGTGCCCTTGCTGGAACAGACAAGGTTTTGATTATCTCAAAGCTGTTCAACTCTTCACTGCTTTCCTCTCCCTCACAGGTGAGTGGGCTGCCCACTCCAGATGTGATGTGGTACCAGAATGGAAGGATGGTTCATCAGGATCAGTTCCATAAAATGATAGTGTCAGAAAAGGGATTCCACTCGTTCATTTTTGAAGCAGTCAAATCATCTGATGCAGGGGCATACGAATGTGTGGCTGTGAACCGTGCAGGAGAAGCATCTTTCACAGTGAAAGTGGAAGTAATTGGTAAGACTGAGAGCACTGATAATTACCTGGCAACACATAGAAAGTCTCAGTGATCTAATGCTTTCCTCTCTGCATTTGGGACATTAAACAATTAAGAAGCAGAGGGAGCCCTCCAGACATTCAGGCTCAAACAATAGCAAACACCATATCTTTTCTAAGGCTATTTTAATAAATATATCTGAGATGCCACATTTCTTCAAAGCACTTACAGCAGGATATTTAGATATAGTGGGGTGTCCAGAATTTAATTTAATTAACGTTATTAATCTCTGAAGGTTGATAACATATATTAATTGACTCTCCTTCTAAAGTGGATTGTGTTTACTACACCCTTATGCTCCTGGGAATTGCCTGCAGGCTGAGGAGATGCAGTAAGGAACACGTGTCCTGCTGAATTTAGCATTCTGAAACCTTAAAGCCCGAGTACGATATGAGCATTCCACGCTTCCAGTAACTCCTCCTTGTCTTTCCCCTTTAATTTAGCAAAAGAACATCACACGCCTCCAACTTTCATCTTCAAGCCACAGAGCAAAAAGGTTTTCGAAGGAGACACAGCCAGGCTGGAATGCCAGATCTCTGCCATCCCAACCCCTCGGATTTACTGGAAAAGAAACAACGAAATGGTACAATATAATACAGACCGAATAAGGTACCCCGCTGATGAGTGTGTTAGAAAACAATAACCAGTGTCTGTTAATTCCAGTTTAAAATGGGCTGGTTTCTAAAAGCAGCAGGCTGGAAAGCTGGGCCTGCCCCTCGTGTGCATGGCAGCAGGGGCACAGCCCACTGTGCCGGGCAGGAGCAACCCTGAGAGCCTTGTTTTGAGGGCACAGAAGTGCCCAGATGCCCCTCTAGCAAGGCCTGTGGAGAAGCACAGCTTTAGGACTGAAACATGGAGTGTTTCCTCGTGCTCTGAGGCTGTGGGGCTTCAGAACAGCCTTGCTGCCACCCGACTTGTGTCATGATGTGAATCACTGCTGGCTCGTAACACAAACACAGTGTTTATGTCTAAACAGTTTGCAGTGCCCTGCAAGAATTGTTCTGGGGCTTCCTCAGCGTGTAAACTGACTCTGATTTCAGCATCTTCCCTCCTTCCCCCTCAAAGCACTGACACATGAACACCTTCATTTTTCAGCCTGCTCCATGACAACACCGGGAGGATCTGCCTCCTGATTCACAATGCAAACAAGAAGGACGCTGGCTGGTACACCGTGTCTGCTGTCAACGGGGCAGGAGTGGCCACGTGCCACGCCAGGCTAGAGGTTGCAAGTAAGTACCAGGTCACAGTGCCACCAAAAAAGTGCACTTGTATTCAGAACAGGCCCTCAAGATTAACCTCGTGAAGCTCAGGCCGCTGGGAGGATTTATTTCCAAAGACACTGAACTGGACAGAAAGTAACTATCCTGTGAAGAACTCTTTTGTTTAGTACCAGGACACTGTGCTGTGCCCTTTGCCCTGTTTGAAGACTATAATTTGATTGGCACCAGGAAGGAGGGTGAATTCAAGTCTCTGGTGTCTGAGATATGGGCTTGTGTGTTAAATTCTTCCCAGGGGTTTGCTGGTTTATACAGCAAATTAAAAGATATCAGGTTGTTCTGTTGTGGGTCTTGCTACAGTCTGGGAAGACACTGAAAGAGGCTTTTTTTATTCTATTCCAGCACATCCAAATAAGCCACTTCCAGCCCCAAAGCAGTTACGGGTTCGACCAACTTTTAGCAAGTATTTGGCACTTAATGGAAGAGGACTGGATGTGAAACAAGCTTTCTCACCAGAAGGAGAGTTCCAGCGTTTGGCTGAGCAGTCTGGACTGTATGAAAGTGATGAACTTTAACTGGAAATGAAGAGGAAAACTCACACCTATAAGAGACAGTTACAACATAGATGCAGTTAATTGGTGATTGCTCTAATTAGCAAAATACCTATCTACATATTTTTACTTTGACTCTTGCACATTCAGCTGTTCCCGTTTTACCCTGTTAGATTTTATTTATATGGTTTGGTGACTATAACCATTAACTGAGTATTGCATTTGAACTATAAGGCCTAAGAAAGCAGGTTAATTAGTTTTTGCAAGTGTGGGTGGGTTTAGTTCCACCTGTGCTTGGTTACATGCTAAGGTAGATTGGTTTGTACTGCTTCTCTAATATCACTCGTGATAATATCAGAAGTCTGTACTGTCTGAATACTAAAACCAAATAGACTAGCGTGTTTTTATGAGAATAAATTAGAGGCAAATAAAATTTTAAATAACCAACATCAGCTGTGACTCTTCCTTGGTCTGTTAAAAGCAGCTTTTGGGTGTCTGGCATCAGCTGCAGCCTGGGAAAGATGGATTCTTACTCTCCTAAACCTTCCATTGGTCCCCTCCCTTGTCTGCTCCCACTGTCATTTGTCATCTGACATCTATAACCTGTTTAGTGTAGACTAAATGCTGACACCCCCTTAACACTAAAACATATGCAACATCAATATTTCTTCTCCTTGCACACTTGACCCAAAAGCTGTTCAATATAATATAAATCATCAAGGATACCATGTTTTCCCTCCTTTAATCAAGGAGTGGTTGTGACTTGTCTCGCTGTTGAGACTCAACAAGATGTTGATTTGAATCATCCAAGTGGTTTGGGTGCTGCTATTCACAGCCTCCTCGTTCAAAACAATACTAAACACCATGAAACCTGATTTTGCCAAACTCCAGCCAACCAAAACTGAAGATTTTTCAACTGTACTTGCTGTAAGAGGGTTGAACTGGCCTGAACTCCTCATAGAGGTGCACCGTGGTCGTCAGCAAACCCCATGGGCATCTTCCACAGTGGAAAAAATGAGGCCTCAGCTTTGCCCTGCACTCCTGTACCATTAAATAAACCCCCAAATCTGAACTGACTATTAGAATCCCAGCAAAATCCTGCAGCTCTACCACCACACTTGTCCTCTGGGCTGCCCAAGTGATCAAACACTCCGAGACAACTCCCCTGATGCCCTTTTGCAGATTGGAGCTGATGAGGTGCAAACCAGTACCCAGTTTGTCCATGGGCTCCTTTAGAAGGTTGGAAGGTTCACATCCTTTTCCTGACAGACCTCTCTACACATAAATAACTGAGGTGACTTCAACCCTTTACCAGCAATGAGTGTGTCAGCTGCACCTTCACTCCTCACTCCGCTTGTCACCCGCCCAAAAGCACCACTGCAGTCGAGATGGCTCTGACTGCCCTTCCCAGCACAGCTGAGTGACAGCTGAAATGGCAGAGCAAGGCTGGAAGCTGTTGTCATCCTCTAATTCCAGCCTGTGAGCAGCCCCTCTTTGCCCCTTCCTTCCAGTGAGGTTCAGCACAGTGAGCACAGACACGAGCGACCTGAGCAAAGTCCCACCTCCGGGGGTGATATCACAGCACGATGTGAACCCTCCCAGACAGCAACAGCCACAGTTACTGTGGGAGTTTGCTGCTGGGAGCAGCCCAGAATCACCAGCTGAAAAGAGGAAACAACACTTGTTCCATCTACCTGTATTTCCACACTTTTTTGGAAGGCTCCCAGTGAATATCATTATTGAGCCTGACTTGGTCTAAGGAATGAATCTGAGCAAGTAATAATACTTGAGCACAAAAGTGGTTTTGAAAACATAACCAAGCCCTTAAATGCCACGATCCTACAGTTAGTAGCAACCATGAGTGCGATTAGATGAGCTTTTCTCTTGTTTACATTGAGATAAACCACGGATTTGGTTTTGTGCCAACTTTATAGATGAGTATTTGGCATGGGAAATCTACAGCAGAGAGACAGGAAGAACTGGAAACAGCGAGCCCAGCTGAGCAGGAGCACATGTTAGTGTTCTTATCTCCTCTGACATCTCTGGAGAAATCAATTATAGGAGGCCTGAATTTAAATCACATGTTTATAAATTGGAATCATGCTAAAACACTCTGGACTCAGAGCCAAAGGCCTGCTTCACACACTTCATTTAGCACGGATATAACACAACAAAAGAACACGTGAACACGCCCCAGCAACAATGAACTATGTAAACCAGAGATATTTCATTTAAGGCAGTGGAATAAGGTATTAAAGTAATAAACTGTCTGGCCCATGCTGGGTGAAATCCAGATTCACAAGCAGTTGTTTTGTGAATGTACTGAGTAAACAGAAGAAATGGGAATACCTTAAGGCTGCATATCTTGTGAGTGCTTCATGTAAAGAAAAGTGTTATTCCAAGGTCTGCCTTAAGTGGTCAGTTGTGAATGAAGAAGAGCACAACAACTAACAAGGATTGTATAAAATAAAAGTTCAAGCTTACCTCAGTTCAGGTTCCATGAGCTGAGCTGCTTTGTTTTCCCATTTCCGATAGGTGAAAATACGCCTCAACCTCGTTATCCCCAAGGAACTGGGGATCTATGGGCTGGTACAGCAGTGGAGGATGTATCTTCACCTCACCTAAATCAAAGCAGGAGAGTGGGGAGAAGCTGTTGTTTCTCAGGCAGAACAGCTGGCTCAGGAAAGGAACCCGAGCTGCATTAATCACACACATATTTGTATTTCATATCCATAAACCTCTTCTGGATAATCAGGGGAGCTCTTACCTTTACCACATGTGAAATCCAATTTACAAGGCATGGTGTTTCCATAAAGACACCAGGAAAGGCTGGTCACCTCAGGCATGTGCAGCCACTTTTCTCAGGTAGCAGCTGGCAAGACAGTAATTCATCAAAAATGCAGAAATTCAGTCAATGCAGGGAGCAGACTCAGATCCATCCTTTCCATTTTCTTGGCAATAGTTGGTGTCTGGTCTGTACACTGGTTGCTGCTGGCTGTTGGAGTAGATTTCATAGCCTTTTGCAAGGTCAAAGACTGGATTATTAGTCCTTATTATTACCAATATTAGAAAAATAAGGGCTGAGGTGATTTAAAGGGATGGTAACTAATACCAGCCCCCTATTTTTTCCCTGCCACTGAGGGTGCTCTCAGCTCCTCACAGACCTCCCACCCTGGTTCAGCACACAAACTCTTCTCTGGCCTTGCTGTGGGCTGGCTCTGGCTCCGTGTCCTTCCTACTCATTACCCACCTTGTCTGTTGTTGCCCTAATCCTTGCAGGGCAAGGAAGGGCTCCTGCACAGCACAGGTAACACAGAAACACTGGAATGTGTGTGGCATGGGACAGAGCACAGAATTATCACAGCACAGTTACAAAAGATTTGGCCAATAAAGTCTTGCACGTACATCTTGTGGCAAAACATCTAAAAAGCTCAGGTTCTTCAAATCTAAGCAAGAACCTCTGAAGTCAATCCAGTCTTTTCTGTGTAAAATGACAGCCTGAAGAGAGGGCAGGGAGCTGCACTGGAGTTTCACTGGCTTCTGCTTTCCTTCAGGATCCATCCTTACCTCCAACATCTGCACTGGAAAAGCGTCCCTGCTAAAGAAGAGCTGCTGGCTGATGCCCAGGTTTATCCAGACTATTTCCTTGCATCCTGGTAAGTCCTTTACAACAACATGTTGTGAACATGCTGCCAACATCATCTTTCCTCAGATAAAAGCATTGGCTTGTGTTCCCTTCCTTTGTGCTCAGGAATCACAGCGTTTCTCAAGCACAGCATAAACGCTCACTTTTACCTTTTCATGGCTGAGTTGCAAAGGTGAAGCTAAAAGGGAGAATCCTGTTTATAAGATTCCAGAAGAGTTTAAAATCACCTTCTCCTCGTAAACACGGGTCACACAAATTCCAAGCTCATCTTAAAAAAAAAATAAAATAATAATCTTGCATGTGGGCAGCTGTTTCCATTGGAGCAGCTGGGAAACCACCCTGGCCAAGGAGCCTCCTCAAACCCAGCCTTGTCCTAGACCCAGTATTAGGCAGGTGTGACCTGTACACAGTGGAGACAGTGCTAAAGAAAAGGTGGGCTTTATTCTTTCCTACATTCTTAGAAACTGCTGACTGTATTTTGGAAGCTGAAGAATACAAAAGGAGTCACAGTTGTCCCCACTGTTACTTACAAAAGCTATTTCTCCACAGGATACTATTTTTAACACCATAGCAATAATAAAAGCTAGACTTACAAATAAAGAAAAATCACTTATTGTGCCCCAAAAGTCAAATGGGAGCTTGCTCAGGCCCAGATCACACATTGAACAGCAGGGTGAGACCAGTGAGTTTTAGCAATGGTATAAAGTTGTGAGCTGGGCATTTGCCCAAATGTTAAACAGAAACAGATGTATGAAAAACAAACGAGTTTCAAGCAATCTATTGGGTCACAGGCTGCATCTGCAGCAAGAAGAAAGATTACTGCAGCTTCCCCTTGCTTTACAAAAAGGTTTTCAGCAGTCTCTGGTAGTTCTGTAGCTGGGGTAAGTCTGTGCAAGTACTTCTACAACATATTTTTTACAAAATTACTTCTACAAGAAGAGAGGGAAAAGCCCCCAGGCTGGCTGTAAACACCACTGCACAACAATGCCTGCCATCCCTCTTGGCTCTGACAAGAAATGTGTATTTCTGTATCCTGACCTTTTGCAAGGGCCAGAAGGAAAATCCACATTTAAATCAGATGGAGAACACTTCTCTCCACAGAGCTGCCCATCTCTTTTCCTGCAGGAGAGATTGTGCTCTTTGTGTCCCAGTCAGCTGTGCTGGCTTTGTCTGGGTTTTTTATCCCTTCTTTTTTTTTTTTTAACCCCTCTGGTGTTGAATAGAGTCCTTTGGAGTTATCAAAGCTACAGGAAGGGAAAGAACTCAGTCACAGCTCAGAGCTACTGAAATCACTGCAGAAATTCCAGCAGAAAGTGTGTGGGAGTCTGTTCTTGCAGATGATCTTCCCACTCCCAGGCAGCTGCAGCCGTAGGTGAAACCCTCACCAGTGACAACCTGAGAGACAGAAGATCTACACAAAATAAATGATTTTAAGATATTTTAAGTGCTTTTATACTGGCTGAGAACAGCTGCCCTCAGGGAGGGAAGAATTTAGTAGAGGGACTTGTAAGGAAAATTAGTCAAGAGTGAGGTGGGACAGGAATTTAAAATATTGTCACTCTTTCAGCACATCTTGTGGCTGCCCAGGGAGGGGGACAGAGACTGTAAGACCCTGTGCTTGTGAAGCATTTCAGGACTTGGCAGCTGATGGATGAGCAGAGGAAGTTTGCAAATGCAAGTTTGGGGGCAGTGTCCCCTCAAGGCTTCGTGGCTGTGTTTGTGTGTTCTGGGCTCTCCAGGCTCACAGGTCCATTGGGGAACAAACATCACTAAAGCAAAGCTCAGGGAAATGCTGAGAAGCATTCACGAGGTGAGGGATGCTTCGGGCAGGAGGGCACAGGAAAATGTGTGAGCTCAGCTGGTAACAGAGACTGTTCACACAGTTTAAATAAAACCAAAGTCTCCCTCCCTGTTTTTTTTTCTATTTCTGGATAAGAAGAGCAGGACTGTTAACAAAGGTATAACACACTGTTGGTTCTGTGTCTTTTCTCTGAACATTTCAGGTGCTGCTTTTACTCTCAGAACTGCCCAGACCTGCAAATGCCTGGACGACATTTATTCCTCTGCCTTGTTTTGGGGCTGCTGTGAGACGCAGCCGTGTGACCAGGAGAGCAGACTCCGAGCACTGGCAGCATCCTGGGCGTGCTCCAAACCCTCCTCTCAGTAGCCAGTGATCCCTCCATCCACACACAGTCCCGCACAGGGATCATCAGCCCTCGCTTTCCCTGACTGCTTCCTTCGGTGGTGCATCAGCTGCCAAGGTTAGCGCTTATTTCTCCACAATTCCCGTCCCAGGCACCTGTTACCTTCAGAGAAAAAGAGAATGAAGTTATGCTTTCAGGAAAAATCCCAAATCTCTTTTCCTTGGACCAGGCAGTCCCAGCTGGAGGCACCAGAGGGCGCTTCGCTTCACCCTTGAGCCGGCCGGAATTCCCAGAACATCCCTTTCATTCCTAAATCCATCTATACCCGTTGCCCGAGGGACAAGGTGCTATGAGAAAACCCGGGGTTCAGCACTGGGATGCAGCACCCCCTGCACCCACAGTCCCTGCCCCGGGGGAGTTCTGCTGCTGCACAGCTCGGCTTGTTCATGACACACCAACCCCAGCCCCCAGGGCATCCTAAATCCTAGATAAGTCCTATAAGGAGTGCTGTTTTAAAGCCCTGGTCCTGCAAAGCACTATTACACTACTACACAGTGTCTGGTCTCCTTGTGCCAAATGCCAGTGTGGAGGAGCAGAGTCACAGAGAAGGGAGCAGACAGGCATTCCAGGGGATCCAGGAGGATTTCTCCAGCCCAGCAGCACAGGGTACCCCTGTCAGGGTTCACTGATCTTGTACTTTGGTCTCGTGGCCAAGCCAAGCCAAGCCACCCACTCTCTTCTCAAGGGACTGGTTTAAAATAAAACCCCTCTTCCCTTCACTTCCAAAGGGGTCTGGTTGCCATGCAGTACCCCAGGACACTTGTCCCAGGGAACACAGGTCACTGATGACGTGTTTATCTTGATTACTCAACAGCCTGAGAGCCCGGAAAGCAGGTGTGTGGCACCTCGGGTATCTCCAAAATTTCCTCCTCCTGGCAGCCCCTCTTCTACCAGGAGCCTCAAAATCTTTAGACAGTTACTCACCCAGCACTTCCCAAAAGAGCTTTCAGGCACCCCTTAACCTCTCCCACCCTCCTTACAGCCTGCCTGGCTTTTCCCTGCAAGCTCCATGCCCTGTGGTAACACAGTGGCTCAGGCAAACCTGTCTGAAGAGGTCAAGCTTGGAATACTTTAGATTTGCACCATCTCAGAACTGGTTGTTCAGGAAAAAAGATTTGTCCCAGTATCACTGAGCTTTTTGCACCCTCAAGAACATGCTGCTCCCCCATTTTGACTAATGGTGTTCAACATGGTTATTTTCCTCATTAAAATCTTCCTAGTTCAATGCACATGGATTTGCAGCAGTTCCCACTACACCACTATTGGAGGGAATTTTGTTTTCTCATTAGCATGCTGATCAGAGAAAGCTTCTTTGATAATAACAGAATTAAGGAAAAATGGGGGATTGTAGAACAGATCTGTAGCAACCTTGTTCATTCTTCAAGTCAAATGTCCTTAGAGTTTGTTTTTAACCCTCATTTTCAGAGAAAGGCCACGTGAACAGAGAGCAGGTTATTCTGTCCCACCCCAAAGAACACGCCCAAGGCTGCACCTTCCACCTCCTCCCCCTCACTTGCTCCCTCAACTTCCTGATATTTCCTTATTCCCATTTACCTGCAAGGCCACACATCCACAAGCAGAGTCTTTGCCTTCAGTTCTTCATCCCCTGACAGGCCTGAGGCTGAAGAAAGGTGGATTCTCACAGAATTCAACACAAGAGTCAGTTCAAAGGACCTTGAACACTTCTCATATATAAACTCACAACAATCTGCTATGAAATAAAGTCTGGTTGAGAGGAAGAGCATCCTCTGGTGTGTTCAGCAGCGTGTGCAGTCAGTGTTTTCTGGCCACAAACAGCAGTAACTGCTGTGATACTGATTTCAAGGCTGGGAGATCATCATGGATACAGAGACACAATCAAACATGCTCAGCTGAAGGTGCATTAATTAGCCCAGTAATGGCTGATTCAGCTCTCAGCCCCATCTACTCCCCAACTGCAGCTGCTGGGGCAGGAAGGAGCGAGACTCCCGATTTTCTCCTGCATCATTCCCAGCAGGAACTGAAGCCCACACGGCACCACGAGCCCAGCTGCCAGTTCAGATGGCAGTGGAGGAGAAAGCATGATGAGAAACAAAGATATATGACAATAAAGGTTAAGGTACTTTTATTATAAAAGTCTATACAATGAGCACCAGACATAGCAATGCAATTATATCTGGTTTAG